GTGCCGCCCCGGCCCCCCGCAACGGCGGCAAGGACTGCAGCGGCGTGCTGCTCGACTCCAAAAACTGCACCGACGGGCTCTGCCTCCAGAGTGAGTATGCGGGCAGGGGGTCGTGCCGAAGACCATGCCCGTGGCCGTGGTGCTCCGGCGCTCGGCCACGCTGTTGTTGGCCACGCCTCCCACGTGGATGAGGGCAGGCAGCAACATTGCTGGCACCCGGTTCTTAAATTTAAAAGCCTTTAACAAGGCGTTTTTGTAACCTTTCCAAAGCTGGTTCACACCCGGTGGAAAGAAAGGTTTGGGGATTTTTTGATGGGGTCTAAATGTCCCAACCAAGCCTTCTGAAGCGGCCCTAGGTTTGGGGTCTCTGCTGAAGTAGAGCTGGTTGTGCGTAGTGGGGGCAAGCCAGAGGGGTGTTCTCAGCCCCACCATGAAAACATCTGACCTGGGTCATTGCTCAGTGGAAAAAACCCCAATAAAATTAATAATGATGCTGCTACATCGCGAGTACGAAAGCTGAGCAGCCGGTGCTGCCACCTGCTGCTGTGTGACACCACTGTCCCCTTTAACACTGCCGCAGCCAAGGTCCTGTTAGCTGGGGACATTCGCCCCGGGCGTCACCACTCTTCTACCTGGCTTTCTGCACACCCTGGGGGATGATGCTGCTCTCCCGTGGTCCCTCCCCCCCTCACCTTTTGTTTCATCTCATCTCCATCACCATCTTCATGTTTTGTTTTCTAACTTCTTTTTCCCCTAACAGATAAAAGAGTTCTAAGTGAACCCAAAAGCCACCGTAAGTGCTCATTTCATGGCCATTTTTTTGTTTCTTTGCGAGGCATCACTTTGTTTTTGTTCTGTCACATCCATGGTAGGGCTCCATAGCAGCTGGGGAAGGACAGGGTGGGAAGAGGGAGCGACTGAAGCCCACCCCAAAACTCCTGTTTACAGGGCTTTGCCATAACTCCTTTCTTCATCCCTCTGCTTTCTGGGCAGGTATATCCAAGACAAACCAGGCTTTTAAAGGTCGAGAGCCTTGTGGCAGGGGAAAGGAAGATGGGGATGCTGAGGGATGTCTGTATAGAGATGCAGTGATACTCCATCCTTCCGGGTGGATGCATAGCTCCAGGACATACATATGGGATGCACGGAGAGGTGTTACGTTTGCTCGTCAGGGTTGTCTCTGTTAGGATGTGAGGGTTGGTCGCTCTGTGAATCTGAGCTATATAAACCCAATGTTTCTGGGATTCTTGGTGCTCAGGTAGAGTTTGCGTAGGCCAGGGCAAGGTGGTCTCCAAAGGTTTGAGGGGTTCACCCCCATCTCATTCTCTGGCATCACACTGGCTCCTGGACTGCTCTTAGGAAACACCCTCCATCCTCCAGCCACAGCCTTCCCAGGACACGTCTTCCCCTTCATACCTACGCCCTGAGTCAGTGGTGGGGTTGGGGACCACCGGGGGGTCTTGATGTGCATTCTGGCGCTCCTCTTTTTCACCTTCATTTCTTTCATCCTTCCCAGTGCTGGAGGCCACAGGTGATGTGGCCCTGTATGCCGGGCTGGTGGTGGCCATTTTTGTCTTCATCGTGATCCTTATGGCTGTGGGGGTGGTGGTGTACCGGAGGAGATGCCGGGATTTCGACACGGACATCACAGACTCATCAGCCGCTCTGACCGGAGGCTTCCACCCCGTCAACTTCAAGACCTCCCGGCACGGTAAGAGCTATAGCGGTGCAAGCCCTGCTCACTGGCTCAAGCCCAGGCAGAGAGTCTGGCTGCAAATCACAGAAACAAGTAGGGGGCAAGTCCCTGGTGAACCCCCAGCCCCAGTTTTCTAGGGGAATATGCTGATTTTTGAAGGCTGAGGGCTCCACGGGGGTGGTGATGGGGCGAGTTGGGGCAAAGCAGGTGCGGTGGGTGGTTACCGTAGGATGCTGCTCCTCGCTTAGTCGTGGTGCTGAGCAGTTCCTTGCCAAGTGTCTGGGAAAAGGCAGATGGATGTAGCCCGGCACTGTACCCATTGGACCTCCTGTGCACCCCTCCATCCTTTGCCGGGCAAAGAGGGCTTTACACAGGCATCTCTTAGAGTCAAGCAGTGCTTTTACATCCCCTTGTTTCCACGCAATCCATGTTCCCTCCTCCCACAGACAACCCCCAGCTGCTGCACCCCTCGATGCAGCCCGACCTGACGGCCAGCGCGGGGGTGTACCGTGGCCCCATGTATGCCCTGCAAGACTCCTCTGACAAGATCCCCATGACCAACTCGCCCCTCCTCGACCCCCTCCCCAACCTCAAGATCAAGGTGTACAACTCCTCCACCGCCTCCTCCTCGCCGGGGCTCCACGACGGGACAGACCTGCTCGGGGGGGTCCCCGCCACCGGCACGTACCCAGGGGACAACACCAGGGACGGTCACTTTGCGAACGTGCGGAGCAAAGCCCTGGGCTCCCAGCATCTCCTGGCCCGGGAGCACGGCAACAGCGCCAGCGGCACATTCGGCTACCTGGGGGGAAGGCTCACCATCCCGGGCACTGGTAAGCCCCAGGCTGGGGAGGAGGGCATGTTTGGCAGCCCGTTGCTATCCCAGAGCTGGCTCAGGGGACGAAGGCAGCAAGCCATTCCCAAGCCAGGCTTCTCAGGCTGGAGGTCACAGCTTTCCAGGACTTTCCTGGCCAGCCCTGCTATCGGTGCAGAGCCGGTGCCTTGCAAAAGGATCCAACCTGTGGTTTAGCTTTCTACTGTAGAGGCTTGGCACGAGCGGTGTGGCTGAGGAACATCTCCAGATGTTCCTTGTTGGGCACTCCGGGCTGTCCTAGCTCACTGCTGCCCTCATGCTCACGGGCTGGGGTGGAGGGGGTGGTTTCTCTCGTTTTGTGACTAACGCCTGTGTGTGCCCTGCTAGGGGTGAGCCTGCTTGTGCCCCATGGGGCCATCCCGCAGGGGAAGTTCTACGAGATGTACCTGGTCCTCAACAAGGCCGAGAGCGCCCTGTAAGTCACGCCGTGCCGCCCGCACGTCTGCTCTTGGTTGGCCGCGGCGAGGCTTTCTTTCCAACCGGTGTGCCCTTCTGCCCTCCCCAGCCTGCCCTCCGAAGGCACGCAGACCGTGCTGAGCCCGGCGGTGACCTGCGGACCCACCGGCTTGCTCCTGTGCCGCCCCGTCGTCCTGACCATTCCCCACTGCGCAGAGGTCGGCTCCTCGGATTGGATTTACCAACTGAAAACACAGTCCCACCAGGGAAACTGGGAGGTAAGGTGGGAACCCAGCCCCTGCAGCCAGCGAAGACCACGAGCGCTGTGGGACACAACCCCCACCCGCGGCACCGGGCTGACCCCCAGCCTTGATTTCCCACCTTTCCCTGTAGGAAGTTGTGACCCTGGATGAGGAAACCCTCAACACTCCCTGCTACTGCCAGCTGGAAGCCAAGTCCTGCCATGTTTTGCTAGACCAGCTTGGCACCTACGTCTTCGTGGGAGAGTCCTACTCCAGGTCAGCCATCAAGAGGCTCCAGCTAGCCATCTTTGCGCCCACCGTTTGCACCTCCTTGGAGTACAGCCTCAAGGTCTACTGCTTGGAGGACACGCCGGATGCTCTGAAGGTAACATCGCCTTGCGAGGCTGGCACGGGCTGCCTCTGCTTCCCAGAGCTGTTGTGAGATGCTTCCCCGGTCCCTCTCAGGATAGCCTGACCCCAGGGGGCAGACAGCCTGATGCAACTGCCTGCAAAGTGACCGCAGTAAAATAATAAAGGTGTTTACAGCTTTCTCCATCCTTCCTCCCTCTCTCCAAAGGAAACCATGAGGGTGTTGCTTACCCTGTATTCTGCACCCCTTTTCTGCACCCATTATAAGAGAGGTTTTGCTGCTGATGGGTGGGGCTTTCTCTCTCTTAGCAGAAAATGCTCTTTGCTGTGATTTCCCTCGGTTTTCTATAGATCCTGTTATTCCTGCATGGAGACATGGCTCTCCCCTCCTTGGGAGGGTTTGTGGCATTGATAGTAAGGAGCGCAGCACAAGGAGCTCAGGTTTTGGTGTTCTGGCTGCCTGGACCACCAGTGCCGTGGCTGTTTAATTCCCTGTGACTTGTCCCATGGCATCAGGATGGCTGTGGTGCCTCTGAGTGGAGGTGTAGGCACTGTAGGCAGTGCCCTGGCTCCTGGATCGTGTTTTTCTCTTAAGAGCTGCTGGTGTGATAGTGGGATGGTGTTTAAAAACAGATAGAGTGGCACTCCAGCCTTTGCGCCGGACCTTTGCATTGTCTGAGGAGTAGAGAGGATGCTCAGGTGTTGTTAAATCTCCAGGAGGTACTGGAGCTGGAGCGGACGCTGGGCGGGTATCTGCTAGAGGAGCCCAAGCCCCTGCCCTTCAAGGACAGCTACCACAACCTCCGTCTCTCCATCCACGACATCCCCCACGCGCTGTGGAGGAGCAAGCTGCTGGCCAAATACCAGGTGAGGGGCCGAGGCAGGGGCTGCTGGGTTCCCAGACCAGGGATACCATCCTCAGCCAGGCACCGCCAGGTTGTGAGTGCCCTGGTCTTGTGTCCAGGAGTGTCCCAAAGGGATGGAGGAGGATGGGAGGCTGTTTTCCACGTAGTTTTTCCTGGTGGGATGCTGTCTGTGGGGTTCTTCTGTCCCATTTCATCCCTGTGGGGTGGTGGGATCTTCCAACGGAGCTGCTGGAGCCTTGGCTAAGCCTGTGCTTTGGTGGTCTGCAGGAAATCCCCTTCTATCACATCTGGGGCGGCAGCCAGCGAGCCCTGCACTGCACCTTCACGCTGGAGAGGTACAGCCAGGCCTCCACCGAACTCACCTGCAAGATCTGCGTCCGGCAGGTGGAAGGAGAAGGGCAGATCTTCCAGCTCCACATCACGCTGGGAGAGGTGAGCGGTGGGGAGGTGGGGGGACAGCAAAGGGAACACGCTTGGGAGCTGCTCTGCACTGCAACCTCTCACCACATCCTTCCCCTTGCAGCATGCCGGCTCCTTCGACACCCTCCGCTCCCACCACAGCGGTGCCACCACCCAGTTGGGACCCTACGCCTTCAAAATCCCCCTCTCCATCCGGCAGAAGATCTGCAACAGCCTGGATGCCCCTAACTCCAGGGGAAACGACTGGAGACTTCTCGCCCAGAAGCTTTCCATGGACCGGTGGGTCTCCCTGTGCTTTGCTTTCCCCTCCTGTGCCCCAGGCAGGGGGACTGTGCTCCGCTACCTCCCTGCTGCAGTGCATCCTGCTAGGTTACGTCCGTTATGGCCGTATAGGTCCATCCATAAATATGGATATAGCTCTGTATAGTTACACCCATCTGTGTCGATGCATCCATCCGTGCCACGGATCTCTTGTCACGTTGCACTGGCCATTTATCTGTGCCCGTGCTTGGGCTGTTCCTGTCTGGGTTCCTCTCTGAGGACCAAGGGAAGGGAGGGTAATTTCAGCAAACCAAAGCTTGCATTGCTTTTGCATGAATGCCTGTATCAAAAAAGAAAAAAATCAAAGGCTATGTCTCCAGGGCTTTGGCATTTGCATGGTGGCATTTCCATCAGGGTTCACGTTGCAAACAGGTTTGCTGCTACCAGCATCCCCGGAGGGCACCGCGCCAACCCAGACCTCCTCTCTGCTTCCCCTTCGCAGGTATCTGAACTACTTTGCCACCAAAGCCAGCCCCACCGGGGTGCTCCTGGACTTGTGGGAAGCTGAGCACCAAGATGACGGCGATCTCAATACCCTGGCCAGTGCCTTAGAAGAGATGGGCAAGAGCGAGATGCTGGTGGTCATGGCCACAGAGGGGGACTGCTGATGATGCTCCCTGCGGCTGGCGGGCCGAGAGGATGAAATGGGGGGCGAGGGAGGGGACCCTTCCCCGATGGCGAGGGGAGGCACATCCAATCCCAGACAGCGGTTGAGCGAGGAAGGGCCTCCCTCTCACTGTCAGCCTTAGAGAGCCATCCTCGGCGTTTACAAGCAATTCAAGTGTTACGCAGCATTCCTCTTCCTCCTCCTCCTCCTCCTCCTGGCCGTCCCGGCAGGGCTTGTGGCATGGGGAGGAATTAGGGCTTCTCGAGTCAGGATGGGGGCTTTCCTTCTTCTTCGTTTGGGTTCCCCTCCTCCTCCTTTAATAGCATTTCTGCGTTGAAGAGACGAGTACAATCTAGGCGAACGGCTTACTTCTGTCAAAAGCTTCAGACGGCTGAATAAGGCAAATAAGAAAGAAAAAAAGGAAAAAAAAAAGTTTCTTAGGAAACGCGAATAATTTATTATCCAGATCTTTGGATGAGTCCTTTTTAAAAAAAAAAGAAAAGACAAAAAAAAAGATTTCTAAATCTTTTGTTTTGTTTTCGTGCGTGAGAGCAAGAGCGTTGCTGTGGTCGGGGTGGCAGAGAGAGAGATTCCAGCGAACTCAACTTTTGTAGGGCGAAGCGTACGATCCAAGCGGAGCGAAACGTGTTTACATGTCCTGGGACCCCCGGGGGAGTCCGTAGGGTGAAGTGCCTCTACGCCCCTCTGGTTCTGGGCCGGCTGTGAGACCTCCTTCCCCCCACCAAGTGTTTTTTTTCCTTGCAAACACCCCTTTCTCCAGCAGCAGTGCCTGGCAGAGCGAGGGGTCCCCCTCCACCTGCAAGGAGGGATGAGGGATGCTGCCCTTGATGTTTAGGGGAGGGAAGGGGGGGTGTGTTTACATCCAGATAAGGATATTTTTAATGAATTCCCCCCTGGCGTCATTTGGGGGAGCTTTTTAGGGTGACTGCGCCTTCATTTACACAACTTCAGTACAAACCAAAGAATTCAGACCTGGGGTCGGAGGGAGGGGAGCGGTTGTGGAGGGGTCCGGAGCGAGCAGAAGGCTGATGGGCCGGCGTGTGGCTGCTTGTCAACCACGTTCCACGTCGGTCCCGGGTCCGTGCACACGTGCCCTGTGTTTGATGCAGTATTTCAGCGGGGATTTGGGGAGGGAGATGTTGGTATCTCCACGTTGCGAGCCAGGCTGAGTGTTTTTACAGGAGGGACGGCATCATAAGCAGCGATTGGGTTTCCATCCTCTCATTGCAGCTCCTTTTTTCCCCCCCCCCTGTAATTTTTGTAGTGATGGAGAAGTTGTGGAATGAATGGAAAGTAATCAAGGGGTAGGCAGGAAGGAGGTTCCTTACTCAGATATGGTGTCTCAATGAAGGTGAAAATTTAGATTGCCTGCTGATAGAAATAGTTACTCAGCGAGTGCTCTATCTTAGAAATGTGTCTGTTTAAAAAGAAAAAAAATAGGAAGGGGGATGGTAAGCTCAGGATGAGACTGGATCCCACAGCAAGGCTGTGGGATCTCAGTCAGTGGAAGTATTAAGAGCAGGGTCTGGGAGCAGGTCCTGCTTTGGGCTGTGATACACGGTGTCCTGGCTGTGAAGCCGTGGACCACCATCACAGCATCCCGCAGCATCCCACAGCATCCTGCAGCATGCCCACGACTGGAGCAAAGTCAGGGATCCCTGCCATGAGCGAAAGCTTTGCCTTCATGGGACAGCTCAGGGAGAGTTTTCAGTATTGCTGGGGTTTGACTCCTCTCGGCAGCTCTTGAAGCAGTGATGGAGCGCGTAGAGCCGCTCCCTGTTGTACTTCGGGATCTCTGGGGTTCATTTCTGGTTGGGCTTTTCAAGGCTGTGGGAGAAAGGGAACTTTTTTTACTTGTGTTGGGTGGGAAGACTTCTGCTGGGTGAACTCCTGTGTCACGTAGGAAGGGTTTTATCTAACCTTTAGGTTGCATATGAGTATCTGATTTCTGAGACCCCCGTCTCTGAGCAGGAGGGGGAATAAGCAAATTTGGAAAGAAATGAAGTATCAATGTATCAGGTCAGCTGCTGGCGTTTCATAGGGCTCCTTTCTCAGTGCCGCGGTGCTCTCCGTGAGACGAGATGCTCTTCGTTTGGGCTGCCTCTGAATCTCTCTCGCTGTCATTCTCGCTGCGTCTGGTTCATGGATCACTGCGCCGGCATGCGTGCCTGTCCATCCCTCCGTCCATCCTGCCCGCGGGTGCCTCTGCCTCCATCCCCATCCGTCCGCGTTCACCTTCCCCTTCCTTTCGGTGGGCAGCAGCCGCCTGGATCCTCCAAGGTGCACGTTCCGGGTGGGTTCTCCCCAGTTTTCCGACCCGGGGAACCTGCATCAGGGAGTGGGATGGGAGGAAGGTAGGGTTTTTCCCCCACCCTGGTCCTCTCTAAGCGCCTGCATCTATCTCCCATGGGTGCCAGCTCCCAGGAGCCCTCCGTGCCTCCCTCCTTGGTCAGGGATTTCTCCAGCTGGGTGTTTGGGCAAAGGCAAACCTGCGGTCCGTGTCGTGCTGGCGGTGTCCGTCTCTTGCTCTGCAATCTGTTTCCATATTTATATGTCCGGGGGATGGGCCTGGTGGCATCCTCTAAAACTGCATCTGTTTATTCTGTAAAGAACTGTAAATAAAGTTTAGCATTCCTATTGTAACAGATTAATTTTTATGCAATAAATTATATTTCCTAGTCTAATAAAAAAAAAGAAACAATCTGCTCCCTCCTCTCGTGTTCATCACTTACCAGTTCCTCCTGGGTTTAGCATCTGCAGGGATTTGGGACCAGCTCGAGCAGCAGCGTGAGGATCCCCGTTGGCATCCCTCCGACCTGGTTTTGGGTCGGACGCTGCAGGGATGCCAGCACTGGCGGCAGGAGGATGGTGTTGTCAGAGTCCCTAAGCTCCACGAAGCTGCAGAGATTGATTTATGGTTTGATTTGGGTGATTACTGGGCAGGAGCGGAGCGCTACAACTGTGTCTCTGTGGGCTGAGCCATTTCCAGCGGTTCATTTACTTCCCTGAGGGACATCCACCAGCCCTGCAGAGAGCAAGGTCTCTTCCAGGAACTGCCAGGACCAGGGTGCCTAGTTTGGGAGCAGGGACTGGAGCCTGGAGCTGCAGTCCACACCTCAGGCATCCCTATTCTCCAACCCCTGCCTCCTTGCCTTGCCCCATCCCTTCACTTTGGGACTGTCACGCTGCTCCCCTGTGCCATCGCTCCGGCTCTGCAGGGGCAAGCGGAGCCAGAAGGGTTTGGAGGGCGAGGTGAGCATCCCAGGGCGAGGTGAGGGTCCTGCTGCCCCTGCCCACCCTGCCTGGGCCACTCGCCTGGCCCAGCTCATGGGGACAAGGTGCCACCAGGAGATGGCAACGTTGTCCCTTGTTGGGCAGGCGTGGGGGGAAGATCTGGGGCCCCATCACCGCAGCAATTGTAAGGTAGCCATGCAAAGATGCAAAACCCCTGGGCTTTCCGGCTCCAAGTACCTTCTCTGAACTGATAACCTGTCTTTTTCTCTGCATATAAATTCCTTTAACCTCACTCTCCCCAGGTGCTTTCACTGGACACCTTTTGCTCTAACCTGTCTTTCCAAGGGCCCGAATCTGTGGAAGACTGACCAGCTGTCATCTGACGTTCTCCTGTTGAATATTCGGCTGGCACGTTCCCCTCACAATTAAGCTGGCCCAAATCTCTGCAGCTGATATGTTGAATTCAGTCCCCGTGACCGGTTCCAGCGTGACTGCTGTGCCACTGCCAAGCGTTGACAGATTGATTCTGCCGGAGAGAAGACGCTTGGGAAGCACCGGAGCAGCCTGCATCAGGGTCTATGTGACTTTCTGTTGCGTGTTTAGGAAATTTCCTTTGGGCCAGTCCGGCTGGATTTTACAATTCACTTCTCATGACCCGCTCCGTGCAGCTGCAAGATATACGGAGGATTGGGGGATGCTCTGTAAGTCCCACTTAACACAATTTCTGAACCATTACTACATGCCCTTTGCTCCATTACGCCTCCAGCACCCTGAGAACAAGCAGTGCTGTGGGATGCCCGCCATTCCTTTGGGATAACCCTGAAACCCTCTGTGCTCTGGCACAGCTCCCCTGGCTTTCAAACCAATGCTGACCCTGGATTTGGGATTGGGGTGAAGGGGAAGCAGCCCGAACCCTGCTTGGAGCACAGGGGTGTCCCTAAAATCCCCCACGAGCCCAGGTGGGGGTCTGCAGAGGTTGCAGAGGGTCTCTGGAGTGTGGGTAATAGGGACTGGAGGGGCTGTCAGGGCTTCGGTTAAGCGTGGACTGGCGTTGTTTACCCTGCTCGGCTCGTGCTGATGCGATGCGAGGCCCTTCAGCAGTGGGTTTTTTGACGTGATCGACAGCAGCAGGTCAGAAATACCAGGCGAATCCCTCTGAGCTGATGGGTTACTGACTTGGATAGGTTGTGCCATCTCCTCAGGTGCTTTCTCAGCCTGGCGTGTCAATGTGGATGAAAATCCCAAGGAGAAATCTCCGGAGAGGAACCCATGTGCCCCTCTAAAGCCTTTTCATCACGTCGCCGGTGGGTCGGTCGCACACTTCTGCTTGTTTGCTTGCGGAAGAGGGGAAAAATAAACCATACAGAGCGCATGTGTCTTGGGCTATTTTGTCATCGGGGTGGCCAAGGCCATCTGTTCTGCTCTCCTCAAGGCTCGGAGAGGCTGGAGACGTGGGGTGGCCAGCTGTGCGTGCACTGGTGTCTGGGTCCATCTGCATTTGTCCCACGGGCAGTTGTACACGGAAGAAAAATCCAGGCTAGACCGTCTTGGGGCCTTCTTGCAAAAAATGTAGGGTATGTTGCTTTGATGAAGAAAGGCTGGATACACGTGCAATGGAGGAAAAAACAAGGAAGAGATGCAGCTTGGTTGTAATTAGCTATTGGAGATGGGGAAGTCTAACGGAAAACTGCTGGGAACAGGCAATGTAGGATGTAAAACTCCACTAATTACCGACACGAGTGCAAA